ACAATACAACTTCATTAGATTACTGAATTTGGATCAGAATATAAACATACACACAAACACCAGCGTCAAAGAAATATTCATCTGTCCTAAATGGATATATGTTATCAGGAACAAGATTTCTATCGAGCAATCAATTGCAGTTCTAAAGAACAATAGGTAGGTACAAGCAAGCAATGTCAAGTGAATTCAATCAATACTTTGTTTGTTATGAAGAATAAATTAAAAATGATTAGTTAGTTACTGATAAGCTATTCCCTTCAGTAACGTTTCTCTGTACTGTCTGTAAATAGATCTTGTAGCTATGCACAATAATCATAAGGATGCAGAGATTCATTGAATAAAAGGAATCATATTTCATAATAATAACCATGAGTCAGACAGTAAAACGGTTTTATGTTTCGGACACCGTAAATTACTTGATGTATTTGTAGCTTAGAATCGTGAACCGAAAATCTATGGAGCGTTGAGATAGAGAACACCGACAATCAACTTGTCCTATTTTAATATAAAAGTGAACATATAAAGAAAGTCTCACTTCCCTTTCGAAATTCCTACAGTCTCAAAATAATTAACCGTATATACGGAATCTTCGTGTTATTCAGGACTTCAGTAATTGAAATAAAGTTAAACGTTTTGTACTTATTTTTGAACACTAAAATCTAAGCAAACGACAATTCATGTATCATATCATTTGTCAGTTCTAGAAAGTATCATTACCATTTACCTCAAGAAGAACCGATCTCTTTTGAGGAATTCTAGAAGCAATCGATCAATCTGTTCATATTAAATCATCTATGATTGACTAATTTCTTTGAGTCGGATGGTTTGGTCGTGTTCGAATTTCTCCACATATGGTTCTCATCTTGTCCTATGCACTTCGATGTTGATTGGTTCTTATCGATCTTAAACCTATCATTGTTTACTTCTTTATTTTGGCTGTATCTTCCATTAGTTCGATTCTTGTTCCTATGTTTGTGCATAATTTCCCTCATTGGTTGATAAATTGGATCGATTTCAATGTGCTTGTTGAATGCTGATTGATCTGAGTGTCAAGCTTTTAAAAATTCTCTGGTTTTGTTATGGAATAGCCTCTATCCAAAATTTCCTAATTTTTCCAGTCGAATGTGTGTCTTCAGTTGCCCACGTGTATTGATATAAGTGAGGATATGTCATCATGTTTGACTGCTAATTGATATTCATGCAGGCGAAGATGAACAGGGAGTCTGCTTTGTCCGATGTAGTGTTTTATACAGTTAACACAATTTATTCTGTAGATGATGTTTGGTTTGTCTTTTTTATTATTTCATCCTTTAATTTGCATCGGATTGATTGTAGTGATTTTATTGGTTTGTGTACAACACCTCTATTCTGAAGGTTTGCAACAGTTTCGTTGTATGTGCAGGGAGTCTTCTTTTAAGAAATTTAAAACAATTAGTCCCTTTGATAAATTTCGATAATGATATTAGATGACGAAGATTATCAGAACTATGTGATGTATTAGCGTAATACATTTCGAACAATCTGGTCACACATATACTTGTTAAAAGCATTTATATATAAAAATAAAAGGTCAACTAGACAGGAAACGGGGTAAGAGGAGATAAGGATAATGATAAGAGTAATAATAATAATAATGGGAACACAATTTGAAACGTAATCACTCAATATAATAAGTCAATATTACCAGGGTAGGTTAGAGGTGAGAACAAGTTGTTTTTGAATACACAAAGTAGGATTGAATTTTCGTATGGCTAAGGCTTCAATAAACCTTAGTATACGCCCTTTTACACTTTTATACAGCACTACAAAAGCTGAATTTAGATCAATTTTGTGACCTGTTTCAATTATATGTTTAGCAATAGAGGATGATGGATGTTTATCCTCTGTTCTGATTGGGTCACTTGATTGTATTTGTTTCTGAAGCCATTTGGGTGCATGTTCACTCACCCTAATGTTGAGATCACGATTACTCCTCCCTATGTATGTGTGACCACACACACACAAGTATATGTGTGACCAGATTGTTCGAAATGTATTACGCTAATTGTTATAACGCGAAGTGTGACTTCAGGTTATGATACGCAGAGTTTATTTATCGATCGCGATCTGTGACAGTGGACACGTAAACTTGTAAGGATGACCTAGTGCCCTGATTGGCCCTGCCTCGCTATCTGTCCCCAGCCAGTTGAGTCAAGAACAAAAGTCACAGCCTCGGAGTTATGAATCATTATATTTCAAACATACTTGTTTATATACCATTCAAGCAGTCCACAACGTACCATAAAATAGAAGATAACATTGTACAACAATGGCCAGTAGGAAAATGACACGTTAAATAAATACTGACCAATAAGATGATACTATTTCATGTCCAAGGATAGCACTAGGCTTAACAGGATAATTTTTGGGATATTTTCCTGAATATCCCAACACCTCCCCTTTTTTTGGAGATCCGGAGTTGATGTCCGGATTTTAAATTTTTCTCGCGTCTATCCTCCCCCTCGAAATAATGTTGGGTCTTCATAAACCCAAATTACAATTAATTTGATTGTATTTAAAACACATTGCACAGGGAATCCAGTAAAATCGACCAGATAATGAGGATAAACACCACTCAATTCGAAATCATCCGAGTTCAAATCTTCTGAGATATTGTTGTCAAATTTATAAGGAGCATCATTAGTAGATAATGGATGATTATGGTAATCCGCGTCCAACCAAACTGTGCCAGGTTCTTGATTATTAGTTGATGCGTGAAACACATTTTCTGGCAAAACAATGAGATCTTCTCGTGAGCTGGATATGTTACTGTCTGCACATGCTGTTTCGGGGTTGATGGAGTTTGACTCCATTACCGGGCATGTTTCTGGAATAGAAAGTACTGGACCACTGGGGGCATGATGGATGACTGTTCCGTTTGAAGTACAGTTCACTGAGGATTCATGGAGGCTGCTGTCATTTTCCAGCTCACTGTGTATTTCAGATATCAATCCATCCACTTCCGTCGCGTCTTCATAGCATGAGTGATTTAGCAGCTGCGTGCGGAATTTGACTAATAACTCCAAATGTCGTTCAAAGAGCAGCTGTAATCGATCAGAGGGGAGAGTCATTTTTTTCGAATCAGCACCTGTGATGAAAATTACTGTGTGACTAATGACCAATGTGGTTCAAGGACACTGATGACAATCTGGATACTGATTGGTTGAATAATTAGACTGGATTTCGTCCAATTACAGAATGACTTTGGATTGTATCTTTATCCCATCCCCGTCGCCAATTGTTATAACGCGATGAGTGACTGCAGGGTTTGGATACGCAGAGTTTATTTATCGATCGCGATCTGTGACAGTGACCCGTGACACGTAAACTTGTAAGGATGACCTAGTGCCCTGATTGGCCCTGCCTCGCTATCTGTCCCCAGCCAGTTGAGTCAAGAACAAAAGTCACAGCCTCGGAGTTATGAATCATTATATTTCAAACATACTTGTTTATATACCATTCAAGCAGTCCACAACGTACCATAAAATAGAAGATAACATTGTACAACAATGGCCAGTAGGAAAATGACACGTTAAATAAATACTGACCAATAAGATGATACTATTTCATGTCCAAGGATAGCACTAGGCTTAACAGGATAATTTTTGGGATATTTTCCTGAATATCCCAACACTAATATATCATATAGTTCTGATAATCTTCGTCTTCTATTATCATTATCGAAGTTTCGTTGTAGTTTCTAATATGCTTCTTATGTATAGTAGGCTGATCCTTTTTGATGATTTCTGTACTTGATTTCGTTTGTGATGATGTTTCCGGTTGGTATTTTTTCGTTTGCTTTAATGAAGTTGACTAAGTTCTAGCTCTTTTGTCTGTTATATCCCGATAAGAATAATGAATGGTAACTTTCGGGATCCATTTATGAACCAATACTATGAGTATATTATTGTCGTATAATTGTTATGTAACTAAACTGCTCATATTTCATATCCCTCTTATTATGAGTTTTATTTCGACCTATGAACTATTATTAGATGGTTTACCATTCTTGAGTTATGGCCTGTCTATTAATTACTACCTCACTCATTCACAGACACATTTGGCTAATTCTTGTACAAATGTTGTTTCCTATTTTATGGTACGGTGTGGTCTGTTTGGTTTGTATATAAACCCAGTATGTTTGGAATATAATGATTCATATTGCAGAGGCTGAGAGTGGTGTTCTGGAATTAACACGTTGGGCCAGTCTAGAAGAAGGACCGATAGAGACGCTAGACTGCTCATACGGGTTTTAGGCGTCATAGATCCGATCGATAATTCGCTCCTCTGTAATTGGCGGTATGGTTATCTTATACAATAAACAGGGCATACAAGTTATACAACACACTCTCTCATATATTCCTCTCCAGTTAACCATTCATGAATCAATCACATCGAAATTAAATTGTTTGAAATCAATTATTACATACTAAATAATTCATGACTACAAATACCAATTCATGAAAATATTAAGCACCTAGATTGCTGACATCATTTTCAATGATTCACATGATAAAAACAAAATACCAATTTACTCTTAATAATAACAGGTATAATTTAGAACAAAAATATGCATAGGATCTAAGACAGAAACCAAAAAATAAAAAAAAAATATAAAAGTTTTTATCTGACTAACATATGAAAAAACATGCATAGTAACACCATATTATAGTATCATACTGTTTCATATATGTTACAATATAACAACAGCAACAACAACAACAACCAAAAAAAGAATTTTTTTTCTTCAGTAATTTTACAACCTACAATGTTACATTTTAATGTGCATGAATTACCTTCTCTTTTTTTGGTATGGAAAAACAAACAACCAAAAAAAAATCAGTCATTCATATAACTGGTAACAAAATTTAATCAAACTGTATAAATCATAATTCAAATAAGAGACAATAAGAGATTAGTTACTATACCATTGTATAATTGAATTGTATTATTGAATAAAGATGATATTATTATCACAAATACAAAAGTATTGGAACATATTATTTATTCTATTCAATATACTACTTATTGTAAGTAATATATTCAATCATATAATGAAATAATAATAATCAAGTTATTTGATTTAGCATTATTAATATTACCTTTCAGAATATTAACTATCCTATCGAATTATAATATAATTTTAGATTTTTTTAAACCAATTCTATATCCAGTGATTATTTGTAGTGGATTTCTTGGTTTATTAAGTATATTCATTGGATTTATTGGGATATGGAAGAAGAAAAATATCTTGATTTGCATGGTAACTATTTATATTTCTTTGATATATATATTAATGATTAGCATATTATTGGATTGATTATTGCAACAATTATTGAAATTTCTATATCGATTAGTTCAAGTGTATCAAATAATCAAGTTAGTTACTATGCTAATAATGATGATGATGCTTTGGATGATGATGATAATGCTTTGGATGATGATGGTGATGTTAATGCTTTGGATGATGATGATGACTTATATTTGACAAATTGTATCTACCATAAATTATTTTTATTTTTTAGTATTTTAAACCAGCAAATCAATCCTTATGGAATTCTTTACAATATTATCAGAAACATCCAATTTATGAAAATCAATTTGAGAATTTACAAAAAGATGTAAGTGATTCTAATGAATTATATTTTGCAACTTTCTTATTTTTTAGTTTGAATGTTGTGGTGTTAGATCATCAAAAGATTATGCTAAACTTGTAGATTATTTACCATTTACTTGTGAAAAAGGAAATGCAATTCATCTAAAAGTAAGTTAGTGTTTAACTGAAATTATAATTTCTTTTTTTTTAAATATTAATTTAACTACGATGGCGCAACTTCGTGGATTGGTTGAAGTGAGACATTAACACCGTTGGATGCCGTCCGGCTTAGTGGTCTAGTTGGTTAAGCGCCTGGCACGAGACTGATAGGTTGTGGTTCGAATCTCGTGAAGTGCGAGATCGTGAATGCGCACTGCTGACGAGTCCCATACTAGGACGAGACGACCATCCAATACTTTCAGGTTTTCCATGATTGTCTAGCTCATGATTTTAACCAGTGAAATTTCTAACATTTCCACAAAACCCCTTGTGATAAGTTAACTATGGTAAATAATTTTGATAAAGTTTTATTCTTTAAGTTGAATGATTTGGTTATCAAGCTTTCATTGTTCTTATTTTGAACGATATTATCAGTGTATATTTCGTTACTAGTAAAAATGTTAATCATTCTGTTATTGATATTATGAGCTGAATTTTGATCAGTCTTAGCTGGTTACAATAGACCTATCATAGCATATATTATAGTTTATAGTCAGTAATGAGTTTCCTTTCATTTAAGGCTCATCCGCTATCTTCACTTATTACCAATACCGAATTCATATATGCTGAGAAAGACTGGTTTAAATTCACTTTTCAATGTTATTAATGTTACTAATAAATATGTAAACGCTATACGTCTTAAATAATCTATTGACTATTAAGCTAATTTCAATGATTAAGATCATGAGTCAGTTGAAGCTAGACAACCATGGAAAACTCGAAAGCACTGGACGGCCGTTTCGTCGCATTGTGGGACTCATCAGCAGTGCGCATCCATGACCTCGTCTCCTGCAAGATCCGAATCCAGGACCTACTGGTTTCTCGCGCGAGCACTTAACCATTAGACCACTGAGCCGGCATCCAACGGTGTTAATGTCTAACTTCAACTAATCCACGAAATTGAGCGACACATTCACCATTGTCTTCAATGAGTTACTATCTCACAACAGACCTGGTTGTACTCCACTGGTCACTTCTTCTCACTAGAACTTTATTACTTTGATTACTGTTTATTTCGATAATGCAATGAGAAGACAAAATTTACCAGAATTATGTGATGATCTAATTACTGTAAAGTTAATTCTATATGAAGCAAACACCAATGATTTTGTTTAGAATGACAATCAACATGCCCAAAGAAAAGAAAACAAACAAAAGATCTTACTAAACCATCATTTCAGTACTTATATATAATGTGTACAATTCAATTGAATACAAAATCAATTACTATGGAATTCCTAAGGTTGATTAAATTTTACCAATGAAATATACAGTTTGATCAAAAAACTAAAATCATATCTAAGTTTCTTAAAGCATATAATACTAATCTTCTGATTGAACTGAAGTCAATTTAACTCCGTTTGAACTTGTAACCTACTAGTTGACTGTTAGACACTTTAAACAATAAACCACTACATCAAATTTCTATAGCTATTCCTATGCTATGAATTTCATATGTTACAACTACATCACGAGACAAATGTTAACTTGGAATCCTGAATGGAAACGGAAAAGAGGAAAAGTCGAAGAACACATTACGTGGGGAAATCAAATCAGTTATGAAAAAGATGAATAGTAACTGGAAAGAGCTGGAAAGGATCTCCCAGGATAGGGTTGGATAGCGAGTGCTATTTGGCTGCGTAAGTAAGTAAACAAGTAAGTCATATCCTATTCAGTATTTTGTTATTATTCAGCCTTAAAACTTAATTAAATCATCCATTTCAATTGTATTCTTTTTTAATATTTTTTTATAGGGTTGTGCTGAAGCATTATATGAATATATAGAACAGTCTATTATGATAATAATATATATATGCATTGCATTCGCTATTATTAAAGCAATCTATTTGGCTATTTCAATTCTTGTTTATCGTAAATCGGATAAGAATAATTTATCTATATAGAATAATAAATAACAATATTGATGGATGTAATGGAATCAGATAGATATGTACTTCATATTATTGATTTTTTTTTTAAACAAAGGGGGTGGGGGAATATAATAAAACTGACCAAGATACTATTACATTTCATTTCATTCTTTTTTCTTAAATGTTAACTTACATCTTTATTCCTATATGTTAACTGACAGAAGATACACTTTTTATGTTGCAAAATAATTTATACTACTCATAACAGTAATATAAATTATAAATATATGACTTCTTAATTGATATTTTTTTTGTTTGTTTTAATTTATTTCTAAACAAGAAATAGAAATTTTCTTTAGATTAAATGTTTAGAAAGTTTAACATGTGAGATTACTTTATATACTTAATTACTTACATCTATTACTCTTCGTGAAAGAATATAGGCAACTAAGCAGTATTCTCCATCCAGTACTGTCCTGGGCAATCCTTTCCAGCTGTTTCCAGTTACTATTCATCCTTTTCATATCTGCTTCTATTTCCTGACGTAATGTGTTCTTTAGCCTTTCACTTTTCCGTTTCCATTCAGGATTCCAAGTTAGGGCTTGTCTCGTGATGCAGTTTGACGATTTGCGTAATGTATGTCCTATCCATTTCCATCATCTTTTCCTAATTTCCTCTTCAGCTGGAAGCTGGTTTGTTCTCTCCGACAGAAGGCTATTGCTGATGGTATCCGGCCAATTGATGCTGAGCATGTTGCGCAGACAACTTTTTATAAATACTTGTACTTTCTTGATGATGGTTGTAGTAGTTCTCCATGTTTCAGCTTTGTTTGTAGGACTGTCTTGACGTTGTTATTCAAGATTGTGACTTTGAATTTGGTTGACAGACAGTTGTTTTGAGTTCCATATGTTCTTCAGTTGTAGGAATGCGACCCTTGCTTTGCCAATCCTCGCCTTTACATCTGCATCTGAACCTCCTTGTTCATCGATGATGTTTTGCAGGTATGTGAAGGATTCCACATCTTCCAGAGTTTCATCATCAAGTATGATTGGTTTGGTGTTCTCTGTGTTGTATTTGAGGATTTTGCTTTTTCCATTGTGTATGTTGAAGCCTACTGATGCAGAGGCTACTGCTACACTAGTTGACTTCATCTGCATTTTTTCGTGTGTATTCGTTAGGAGTGCTAGGTCATCTGCGAAGTTCAAATCTATCAATTGATTCTGAACTGTCAAATTTCATAATATCATTGAAATCATCAACTGATCAAAGTTAGACAATCATTAAAAATGTGGAAGTACTGAATAGACGTTTAGTCTGAGTATGGAACACCTCAGAATTGGGTACATACGAGCCTGTATATGGGAAAATAATCTAAGATCTTTGATTTTGAACACATACTCTTAGCCTATAGACTTTTGGACTGGGACTCAAGTACATATTGTTAAACTATTAAACAGAGATGAGATGAACATGACGCAAATGTACATTATAAATATCAATTAGTTATTATATTCCAATCCATCCGTGTTCAAAATTAGTTATTTCTCTTTCATGCTAATAATTAAAAGCTATGTCTAGTTAATTTACTGATACTTTCAAATGATAAGATGTGATACAGAAAAATTTCAATGTTAATCCCTAATCGAATGTCTCGACGTTTGAGTTATTATCGACCAATCCTGCTTAAAATGATTGTAAAATCATTTGTCATTAACTAAGCGATTCGATGACGTTAAAGTGAACAATCATTTGTGGGATGACTCTCTCTCTGAAAGGTAACAGTACAGACCCATATAAATCATACAACCAATAAATAGGATAGATTTAGTTAACGAAACTCCATTTATTCTAAAGTATCTAGTGGATACCTCAGTTCATTAGATAACAAATGTGACATATTGATAGGGATGAAGATGTATTTAATAACACTAGTTGTATTGTTGTAGTTTTATGCGATATACGTTTAAGATAACCTCTAGTCTCTAGTTTATCATTGAGAAAGTGTTGCAATATATCAATAAATACTGATGATCATCACTTTCTGATCGATTCTGTAACAAACTGATAAGATGATTTAGGTTAAAAACTTTAACATGATATTCAAAACAATTGAAGGTGTTTTGAAAAAATGAAAGAATTTGGTGACAATGGTGCTCATATTTTTATTATTAAAACGATCCCAAAATCGATTTGAGTAGAGAGCTATGATGGTTAGTAGGAAAATTGATTCCGTTGTCTCGTGAGGTAACACAGAATGTATTCTGGTACAGTTATTTGACAGAATGTCGTCAACTAGTGATGTATTTAGTAAAACTAATATTCTGAAGATCATTGTCGAATGCTTACAAAGTTAACTATTTCAGGGAATTACCTATCGCTGCAGAACTTTTGATTAGAACATTGTGAAATACTGGGATTTAACATATTCTATAGTAAGGTAAATATTAACATATTTCTTCGAGAATAAATCTAACTGTTCACAATCTCATTAGTATTCTTAATCGTTGTTATAAATCCTAGTTTAAATTTGAATGAAATGTTTCCTGACATGATTAGTATAGTTTATTAATCACTTGTTTATGGTGTTTGATAAACAATAAGACTATCCTTTTAAATATACTCGTACTAATCATTGTCCAGGGATCAAAGTGATTCGAAAAGCACAACAGTAATATGTACATTTTTTTCATTACATATAACACAACATGCACCAATCGCATCATGCTTCACGGAGAACTTTTATAGGATGTAAATCCTTTACATATCTGGACAGCATCATTGATGAGCATGGTGGATGTGATGCAGATATGAAGGTGCGGATCAGTAAAACAACAGAAACATATTTATGATTTAATAAGATCTGGAACTCAAAGCAACTGTCTGTAAGCCAACATCAAGGTCAGAATTTTCAGTACAAATGTCAACACAATTCTACTGTATGGGGAAAGCTAGAGAATTAAGAAAGCCATCATCCAGTGTTTATTAACAGTTGTCTACACTATTAGCAACAACCTACTGTGAGAGAGAACAAATCAGATTCCAGCAGAAGAAGAAATCAGAAAAAAGCTCTAATAGTGAATAGAACACACATTGAAGAAAGCACCGAACTGCATCACAAGGCAAGCTTTCACTTGGAACCCTGAAGGCTAAATGAGGAGAGAACAACCGAAGAACACATTATGCCGAGAAATGGAGACAGATATGAGAGGAATAAACAACAATTAGATAGCGCAGTACAGAGTGGATTGGAGAATGCTTGTTGGCGTTCCTTTTCTCCATAGGGAGTAACAGGCGTAAGTAAGTAAGTAAGTCAGTCAGTTAGTAGTATATGCTTTACAAATATTTTCATTTATTCATAAATGAATAATTCGACATATGAATAAGCTAAAAAAGCATATGATTAACATTTTAAAACAACAAAAAAATCAAAATTATTAAAATTTAGTTACTGGGTAATTATGATGTAAGTCAACCATTTAATTGACAGTTATACATAATACTATACACAAAATGATTTATCATTAGTGAAATACAAACATACATACAATACAATTTACGTAATAATAATAATGTCACTAAATGATTATGAATATTTTTTAAAAAACAAACTCTATGTTACTAAGTCATTTAATTACATACCTGTTTGTTACTATGAGACAAATTACTAAACAAGTTTTTTTTTACTATAATTAGACAGAGAATAAGTTAAAAGAATTTACGTCGTGTGCATTACCTATCTATATATCATTGAACATGCACTTTAAGGAATGATATTACTTATATTAACTCAATATGATGTATAATATATAAACTGTTCATATTTTATTATATCTCATAGCAACTAATTTCAATTATCAATATCGAACCAAATAACAACAAAAAAAGGGGGAATCATGATCTTATCAATCGCAGAAAAATATTGGAAAATTATAATTATTTTATCAAATCTTATATTTATTGTAAGTTATATATTGTAATGTATTTTATATTTATCCATTTTCAGGTATACAGTATTGTGCTTATTTCATTAGGTATAGATAAATTGAATTTTTTAAAGAGATTTACCATTATATTACATAATGCTATACCAATTATAATTCCAATGATTATCTCCAGTGGATTATTATGTCTAATCACTGTATTGATTGGTTTAATTGGTTTAATAAAACAAAAACAATGTATTGCATTGATTGTAAGTAATATATAATACATTCATCATTGATATATATATGTATTTATATTTAGCATATTGGTGGTTTAGTGATTAGTGCAATTATTGAATTTAGCACAGCAACAATGTCAGCTGTTTCTAAGGATCAGGTTAGTTTGATTGTTCCTAACATGCCTATATCATTTACATTCTTTTTTATTCTAGTTTCTTATGAAAGTAAATTCTTCTTTACATGAATCTATAATACACTATAATATGGATTTTGATATTAAAAATGAATTTAATAATTTACAAATAACTGTAAGTTCTATTGAAATAGTTTACATGGATATTGTTGTTATAGCTTGGATGTTGTGGTGCTTCCTATTTTCGTGATTATTTGAAAATACATTCTGAACCACCATCTTCTTGTAAACCTACATCATATGGATTTGTAAGTTCATATTTATTGATTATTCATTGTACAAGTTCCCATTATTGATCTTGTACTCCTTTTTATCATCTCATATATCTATTCAAAACTGTCCTGAGTTCGGTTACTACTTTAATATATATTTTATATGGTTAAGATCATGAGTCAGTTGAAGCTAGACCACCATGGAAAACCCGGAAGCACTAGATTAATTGAAGTTAGACATTAAAACCGTTGGATACCGGTTCAGTGGTCTAGTGGTTAAGTGCCCGCGTGCCAAACCAGTAGGGCCTCGATTCGAATCTCGCGGGGGGTGGGGTGAGATCGTAAATCCGCACTGCTGAAGAGTTCCACAATAGGACGAAACAGCCGTCCAGTGCTTCCAGGTTTTCCATGGTGGTCTAGCTTCAACTGACTCATGATCTTAACCATTGAAATTACTACAATCTTCACAAAACCCATCTGATATATTTTATAATCATACTATTTTGACAATCAATTATAATGAATTTGTCTATTTAACTTCATCGCCAGTGAATATTTTAATGGATTTCTAAAGTACAAAGTTATTTGGATGAAATGTTTTACTCATGTTTATAATAAATTACCTATGAAAATAATTTTTAATTTGTCTTAGTTAGTTACAATATGGGACCAGGCACATATATGCATTGCTTCAAGTTTCCACAGCACATTGTCTACTATGTCTATGATATCATATTCTACATAACGCTACTTTTTATATTAAAGTAACGCCTAAAAAAGCTGGGTGATGAGAGAACACTTCAGAAATTATAACTCATGAATTTATTTACTTACTTACGCCTGTTACTCCCAATGCAGAATAGGCCACCGACGACCATTCTCCAACTCACTCTCTCTTGCGGCTTCCTTTCTAGTTCTATTCAATTGTTGTTCATTCTTCTTATTTCTGTATCCATTTCTCGGAGTTCTGTGTTCTTTGGTATTCCTCTCCTCCTTTGGCCTTCAAGATTCCAAGTGAGGGGTTGCTTTGTGATGCAGTTCGATTCTTTCTTCAATGTGTGTTCTATTCACTTCCAGCGCTTCTTCCTGATCTCTTCTTCTGCTGGAATCTGATTTGTTCTCTCCCACAGTAGGTTGTTGTTGATAATGTCTGTCCAACGAATTCGAATTATTTTGCGTAGACAACTGTTAATAAACACTTATGCCTTCTGGATGATGGTTAATTTTAAAGCATTAACTCAATTAGATATTGAGATATTTGAGAAGATTTATAACTTAGATGAATGATTTTGATAGAGTTTTTTCTTTGAGCTGGATAGTTTAGTCATGGAGCAATATCAAAGAAGTAAACAATGACAGGTTTAAACGTCAACAAAAATCAATCAGTATAGAGGTCTACAGAACAGACTATGAACCACATGTAAAAAAATTCAAGCACTTCACTTCTACCTTAACTTTATACTGATAATGTTGTCACTCAAAAGAAGAACGACGAAAACTCCATCTAGCTCACAAAACAATTAAATATCTTAAATGAATGAATTAATTTATCATCGATATCTCCATATACTATTTAATCATTTATTGATTTATTTTATGTAATCAATAATTTTCCAATTTTGGTTGAGATCATGAACCGATTGATGTTAGACCACCATTGAAAACCTAGAAGCACTGGACGGCCGTTTCGTCCTATTGTGGGACTCCTCAGCAGTGCGCATTCACGATCCCACTCACGGGATTTAAACCTAGGGCCTTCAGTATGGCGCTTAACCTACTAGACCACTGAGCCGTCATTCAATGGTGTTAATGTCTAACTTAACAATCCCCTAAACTGATAATTTACCATTTATTTTATTCGGTTTTTCTTTCTTATTTTTTTGATTATCTTGATAGGGTTGTGTTACAGCCATCAGTCGATATATGCAACAATATATTATAATGTTAATGTATCTATGCTTTATTTTTGCAATTTTAAAAGGGATATATGTAACTATATCAATTTTATTATTTCGTAAAACAGTTAGCAAGGAAAATTCATCTGCGTAAACTTAACATTAACAGCACACACACACACACACAAACACAAAAGGACAACAACATTATAAATTACAAAACTACAATAGAATATCATTGATCTAAATGACATTGTTGATGAGGATTGAATTGTTATGTCAAATTTATACATGAACAGTTTTGATTTCTACATTTTGGAAACATTGATCATCATTCAATTTTGTTATTTGTCAGTTTTTTTTCTTAAAATTGTTTTTTTTTGAAAAACTTCTTCACACTAATCACCATAACAACAGATTTGTTAAAATAATATCAATATTAAATTTATTTGGTATTGTGGTATTATTTGAATCTTCCTATTGATATTTAGGAGTGTAATTGATCAGTCTCTTATTGGCATATATGCATACTGTGAGAATTGACTCGATATTGCTTTAATTTACAAACATTATAAGAAAATATGGATGATGGCTAGCAGAGGAATTCAGTTTGACGCGTGTTTCATTCCATTTGGAACTCGTCAGAGGGATGTACATGTATCTCAGAGTTGATATTTACTGTGAGATTCAAACCTAGTAACGTTTGTTTCAAACACTATTGCGTTATCCACTTAGCAACTGAGTTCTGATAGCCATTTACTTGTGTAATATGGTAAAGCTTAAATTCACTTGGTGTTGTTGTTTACTTGTATCTTCCCACCGATATTTAGGATTGCAATTGATCAATCTCTTATTGGCATAGGTGTATATTATGCGGATTGCCTCGATATTGCCTTAATTCACAAGCATTATAAGCAAATATGGATAGTAGCTAGCAGTGGGATCTACAACGCGCGTTCCTTTCTATTTGTGAATCGACAGCTGGATGTACCTGCATCTGAGTTGATGTTCACTCTGGGACTCGAACCCAGTACCATTCGTTTCAAACTCCAACGTACTATCCACTTAGCTACTGATTCCTAATGGCTAACAACAGGATTAATCTTTCTTGTTTGATGCTTCACAATAATATTAAGTGAATATTGTTATAATAGAAGGATTTTTCAATTTCGAAACATCAGTCGATTTAACTATATTTTGATTTCACTGGTTGAAATCATGAGTCAATTGAAGCTAGACCACAATGGAAAACCTGGATGTGTCACTGTGGCGCAACTTCGTGGATTGGTTGAAGTTAGACATTAACACCGTTGGATGCCGGCTCAGTGGTCTAGTGGTTAAGAGACTGATAGATCTTGGATTCACATCTCGCGGGGGCGGGATCTTGGATGAGCACTTCTGAGGAGGAGTCCAATACTAGGACGAAACGGCCGTCCATTACTTCCAGGTCTTCCATGATTGTTTAGTTTCAATTGACTCATGATTTCAACCAGTGGAATTTCTAAAAAATCTCCACAAAACCCATTCTGATATATTTTGATTATTCAAGTTGAGTGTTGTGATCTGTTGAACCTTGAAGAGATCAATAGAGTTAAATCTATACCATATTTTAGATCTAAACATTCCATCAAATCAATATGATTAATATGAAAATCAACCACTTTATAATTAAGATACGGAAGTGACAGGTAATCTAAGTATTAATAACCCATCAAATTTGAATGTTATGGATATTTTAATTCAGTAAATAAGATCCATGGAAATACAATCAATAGAAGTGAAACAGTATTTAATCTGAGACAACATTCATAAGTATGTAAAGTGATTAGTGTAGTTCTATCTGAAGTTTGTGCTGATGATGTCGTTCAGAAGAACGATGAAAGCTCCACGACTAAACCATCCAGTTCAGAGAATAAAACTCCATCAAAAGTGATTAGTCCATTTGATAAATTGCGATAGTGTTATAAGAAGACAAAGATTATCAGAACTATGTTGTTATATATCAACATAATACACTTCGAACAATATGACCACATATACACTTGTTAAGAACATTTATGCATAGAAATGAATAGCCAACTAGACACATAGACAGTAATGGTTCAGATGGTTCAAATGGTTGTGGACGGAATAGAAGGAGCTTTCTCTTAACAGGCTTTCGTGTCTATTAGCAGGGGATCACGAATAACTCCAGGCAGGAACCTAGGTATGTTAACGATATAAGAGGAAAAAGAAATTGGTAAATCATAGTATGATACTATCCTTAGACCTTAAGAATAGATCAAGTTGCCTCTTAAAAGACTTCTGGGAAGTCGCTTGGATCAGCCCAGTAAGAAAAAAACAAAGCTAATCAAGAAAACAATATGAAAAATAGTATGAAACGTACTATATCGGATAACCAACTAATATGATCAGGATAAGTTTAAGATGGGATACAATTGACATGATTTATACACAATTCATGTTACAACTACAATAAAATCTATCTAATTTATAACAATAATACAATAACAGATGTAGATTAATATCATTAGAGATCGAATACCTAATTGGATATAAACATTAAATGAACATTCGAGCAATATTTTCTTGTCTCAAGTCATTTATGTGCAATATATATGTGTGGAATTTCATTTGTTGTCAATAAAACTGATCAACATATCTTCATGTCCATCGAAGATGATAAGAGTTTTTCATTTAGGAATCATTAATGCCGTGTCAGTCAGTCAGTAACAACGTAGAAATTCGTACGTACGTAAATCAGTTCGAGTTGCCATACCACATTATCACACAGATACAATTGTCAATTCAAATCCCATAGTGGTAGAGGTAGTAAGAGCATAAGCAGTAATCGGAAACATTAGGGTTTGAAGATGTTATTCAAGGAGTATAATACAGTGAAATAAATTTGGAAAGAAAATAAGGGACATGAAGAATTCAGAAGATTAGAATTTGAGAGAGAACAAAGAGTGTATGCACGTGAGTCATTGCAACCGATTCTGAGTCATGTCATTCAAGGTCTCTAACCATCGGTTGCTATCATCTTGCGGTTAATGCTGTGTACAACTATTGATTCGTTTTGTAAACATACTTAAAAAACTATCACCGTAAAAAATATTCAAATTAATAATTACTGCTAAAAATTGGGAACCACAGCATATTCTTCAAAAAGCAAATCAATGTGCATTGATCTGCTGAAGGTATAGAATGGTATATGTTCTAGGTAGAAGAAAGAACAAGGGAAATTATAAACTTTTTTTCAAACACAGAAATTACATTGATGAGAAGTAATGAGAACAAGGTTTAATAGTTAAATTCATGAGTTCATTAAAGCTAGACCACTATGAAAAACCTGGAAGGACTGAACAGTCGTTCTGTCTTCGTACGGGATTTCTCATCAGTGCTCATACACGATAACACTCGCGCGATCTGAACCTAGAACCTTCGGTCTCGCTCTCCAAGGATTAACGAGATTATCGATCGATGAATTCAAATTTGATTAGTTACGAGATAAGTAAACGATACATGACATATTTTAATTTTGGAATTCAAGACGCTCGTTTCATCCTATTTGGAAATCGTCAGCTCGATGTACTTGAATCCCAGAGTTGGTTCTATTTATTCTGTTTTATTTATTGTAAAAATCAGTTGACTATTTATGGTTAATATACCACAAAATCTTCATGTTCATCGCCTAGCATGATATCCAACTTTGTTCCGTTATAAAAACTGGTAAGCAACCTGAATTGTGACAGTTATAACAACTGAACAGAGTAGTATTATGTAAAGTAACCATGTACTTGCAGATTTTCTTATGAATGTCTTCTGCTTTTATAAAATAGTAACTTATAACACTAAATGATGCTAAGACATGAATTTTATAAGTATATGAAAACAGTCAAAAGTGGGACCTCATTAAATAGGTCTACCTGCTAGTAACACTAGTAACTGCAATAACACAGTTTCATGTTTACTTCTAATTATTCATCAATAGCTTTACAACTGAACTGTACATTACTAATACATAAAACTACAATAAACCATATTGCACAATAAATGTTAATTGATTGATTTATCACACTATAAATAACTCACAATTCTACAACAACAACAACAACAACAAAAACCCCAGTTACATTCAATATAACACATACCAAATTATTCAACTCGTTCATTCCTACAAGAATGTCTCGTGTTTACTTACTGTTCTCTTTTGGCAATATATACATTTATATACAACACTAACATATCAACAATCAGTTAACATGTGTTGAATAAGGTGAAAATGATCAATTTGTTACATCTAGGGAACATCACATTATGGTTTGATAACACATGAATGATGATGACGCTTATAATGTGAAGAATAATTTAATTAACATTTTTCAGTGTGAATTTTCTAATATCACTTACTTACTTATACCTGTTACTCCCATTGGAGCGTAGGCTGCCGACCAGCATTCTTCATTCATCTAATATGATTTAACCCATTTTCAGTCGTTCAGTGTTTAGTAGTCGGAACATTTGAGTCAGTTTACTTGATTATTCACCATCGTTCAGTTAGATATAAATCGATTGGGATCTACAAGTATGTTATTGGAAAAGTGTGTTCATCATATCAAACATTCTGTTTATCGTAAACTACACTCAGTTTTATTTTACTTATTCACTCACTCAAACTGTAACAACATCTTCGTCAAGGTGTTTAGCATAACTTCACTACCATTGCTTTTCAGATCATTAGATGTGCTATCTAATTTTATAATAATTTTGAATGTTTCTAAACCAACTATTTTTCCAACGGTTACTTCACAGGAATTATTGGTATACTTGGTGCTTTTAAAGGATTTGTTAGACTGTGACACCTGAAGAATATTTTCTTTCTAACGGTGACCATCATATCAAATGACGTTTCTGATTGATATCTGTGATTAGCATATCGTTGGATTGTCTGTTACAACTCTCACTGAAATCGACGTTTCTATGAGATGAGCTCTGAATAAAGATCGATTTTGTTGAATGAATTCAATGAAAGGAATCTGCCTATTCATTGTTCTTCATGACAGCCAATCAATCGTTAGTGAATTTGCCCTAAATATTATCGTAAAATTCAGTGGATGGAAAATTTATTCGATAATTTACAGAAAGGTTTCAGTCATTCCAGTAAGTTGTAATAATCGTTTCTACTGGACTCGTCATATTCGCCTATAGTTTGAGTGTTGTGGAGATGGATCAGCCTCGGAGATGAGATTGTAATCTGTGGATGAACCAATCAGATTTACGATAACAGATCTTG